CAGAGCTGTCTCCGAGATGCCGGATCAGCAAGTGAGCAGCAGCCATGGGAGCAGGGAATGCCACTGCAGAGCACAGCCTGCACGTGGGATAACACAGGGATAACTCCCTGCAGCTGAGCTGATGTGCAGTTCCCTCTCTTGGCTCTAAACCTTTAAGATACAACACTGACATCCTTCACTCGGAGAGGGGCTGGATATGTGCTTTTCTTTCAGGAAATCCCCAAACTGACACTCGGCTACCCAGAGATTTTGGGACATGGAATGTCAGCTGCAGAAACCATGGATACTCCCACTGAGATCCTCCCAGGGATGCTCTCAGTGCTGCTGCCCCACAGAGGCTCATCCCAACTGGAGTTCACGTTGCTGCCAGTTCCAGTGAGGAACAACACAGAGCTCTGGCACAGGCTCCGGGCAGCAGGCACAGCCCCAACCCCTGAGCCCTTCATTTGCTGTCCAGCACCTGACTGCCCCAGCTTCCCAGCTCCATGCTTTTCCCTTCAGCTGCCCATCTGGAAGCCAATCAAATGCCTCTGGGGAGCTGAACACGCTCCTCCTGCTAAAAGCCCCATCTTCAACCCCCCCAGGGATCTCCCCTGAGCAGAGGTTCATTCCTTTGGCACAGTGGCTGATTCTTGATCCAGCTCCCCCAAAACTGGCACTGCCAGGGGACCCCCAAACTTTGCCCCCCCCTTGCTCCTGCCAGAGGTCTGTTGTCCCTGCAAACAGGAACTCTGTTATAGCTTCCAGATTTGAGTGTTGGCTCTGGAGCTGGATTTTCCATCTTCCCAAATCCAAAGAGCTTTTAGTTGAAGCATTTGAGAAAAAAAAAAAAAAAGAAAGATGTGACTATTTCCATCCTCAGGCCCTGCCCTGAGCTCACGGGCACGTCCAGTCCTCAGTGGATGCACTGTCTGCTCTCAGTGCACAGGGGCCCCTTTGTTCAGGGATCAGAAGCCAAGGCAAAGGCATGGGTGAGGCTGGGAGCTCCAGGAATGCACCTTCCCCCTCCTGGCACACTGGTCACTTAAACTGACTGACACCAGCAGCAATTCCCCATATATCCCCTGCTCCCAGAGCCCATTCCCAGTGGGTGTTTCTCTGGAAGACAGATGTAAAGATGTCACAGATGTTACAGATGTTTCAGCTCAGAGCATGTGTGTGAATGACACGACTTGTTCATCACTCTCCTGGAGTTGTAGTGAGAGCAAAGAGGAGGTGTTCAGGATGTCCTACTGAATGGTGAGAGGCAGCTGTTGAAAAAATAGGTGTCTGAAGCTTAAAAAGGTTTTAAATACCCTGACAAAGAAAGGAATCTGCTTGTGAGCACAGCCCTTGCTGTGTGTTTGCATCCAGCTGTGGCTGTTACCGCCCATCCCTCGTGTTTGCCACCCAATTCCCCTCTGTTCCTGCATCCAACACGTGATGACCAGAGCTGCTCTTTTCTCCAGGACATTGGCTTCAAATTATAGACACCCTCCCAGTCCCCCACCCCAGGTCAGCTCCTTACTCTGGGTCTGAGTTTTCCAAGTGGCTGGAATACAATCCTTCATACCTGTTTCTTACTGAGCTGGAGCTCCTAAACATGACAACTCCAGCAGTCACACTGGCTCCCTCCCTGTTTCTTTTCCCTGCAGACTTTGAGGATGTCCCGTTGGATCTCCCTGATTGTAGCCAGATGCACCAGGTCTTCCTCTGGCTGTGGATTCCCCAGACATCCAACATCTTATCTGCCCTTTTTAAGCACGTTCTAGAACAAACTCTCCTTCATTACTGCCTCCACTACATTATCAGTTTCTCAAGTTTTACAACGTAAAATTCCACTTTTCGGAGTTATTTATCAAGCTGCCGATGTTTGATCCACAGTTTCCCCCTCTGCTTTGCTGCTCACACACTGCACCACTGGCCAGCCATCCAGGCACCATTCCCACAGACTTTAAAAGCAGGCAAACCCCACATTTCATGGAGCAGGGGAGGACAAGGGGGTCCCAGTAGCCACACACCACCAACGAGCAGGAAGGGCTGGGACACAGCAGGTTGTGAGGAGCTGAACCTGTCCCTGTCCCAGCAGCATCTCTGTCCCCACGGTCCCTTCTCGAGGCTGGACCTAAAAACTGAGCCCAGGGGCCCCAGAGCCACGGGCTCACCACGTCCCACAGCAGGGAGACCCTCTGGAAGCACTCCAGTGGCCATCACACCAGCACACACACACTGCAGGCACAAATATGTATGTGAGGACCATGTTTTCCCATTCAGTCTTCACTTCGGGAAGGGAAGAAGGTAAGGCAGCCCCAACTGACTGAAAACTCTCTTTCAAGCCTCAAATCCAGCTTCTGCAGCAGGCAAGACACTTTGCTCTTCCCCCCTCATGGTCAGAATTATCTGGCCAGACAGGTTACAGCAGCAAAGAGATCAGAAATGGTTCATGGCAGTAGAGGGGTGACACTTTGAGGGGCTTTGTCTGAGTGGTGTTTACTCCACACTGAGGCAGAGGCAAGTGCCAGGAGTCCTGGATCAGCACCTCAGCCAGTGGGACATGCCTCAAACAGCTGGCACAGGGACAGGACTCAGTTTAGCATCCTCCCTGGATGTAAAGGCCAACTGAACATGAAAGCAGTTGTGAGAAATGCAGCTGACAAAGCAGATTTGGCTGGTTTTGTAAGTGCATCTTCACTTTGCCAGGCTGGAATGTGAGAGCTCGGGTCAAATAACAGCTACTCTGCCACAGGGAGTCTCCATGGGAGGGGGGAGAGGGAGAGGAGAGTGGAGCATCTTCAGAAACAAACCCTTACCTGCACTAAGACAGACACTGAGAGGTACAAACTGACATCAGCTCTCACTTCCATGACTGACCAAAGAATTCAGAACACCAAGAAATCCAGCAGAACTCTCCTTGGCTAAAAATAGAGCCAGCTAATTAACCAAACCTTGTTAAAAGGGACACCCAGCAGCAAGCACGACCTCTGCTTTCTTTACAAATTGATGATCAATATTGACTGTTCTCAACAGCAAATCCTTGAGATCCCTCCAACGTGAGCAACTGCTCAGCTGTGAACTCAGAGAACCTCCCTCCGTACCCTGCCCTGGGGTTCTTTTATAACTATTTAATGTGTGATGCTTGAGAGCTCAGCCTTTCCTAACCACTGTAATAAATACACATCAATCTCTTTCAAATTTAATAAATAGAGACCTTAAAAGCTTGCTCTGGATCTGCTTTTCCCATTCAATTAATATAACACAATACCAAAGCAATGAATTATTGAGGAGAAATACGAGCCTGAGCTTTCACAAACACACTCTACTCCAATGGCAATTTATTACAAATTAATACTGTGCTGCATTTCCTCTTGTGGGAGCTGGGAATTGGTCAGGCTACACCAGCCATGAAAACTTCAGAGCTGCCATAAAACACTACAGTGCTGAGCACAAACAATCATGGAATGGTTTGGGCTGGAAGGGACCTTAAAGCTCATCCTGTGCCATGGGCAGGGACACAGAAATTTCACAGAGGTATCATTTTAATTTCACAGAATATTCTGAGTCGGAAGGGACACACAAGGATCACTGAGTCCAACCCTTAAGTGAATGGCCCATACAGGGATCAAACCCACAGCCTTGGCATCATCAGCACAATGCTCTGACCAACTGAGCTCATCTCAGTTTTTAGAGATTAGGTTGCTCCAAGCCCTGTCCAACCTGGCCTTGGACACTTCCAGGGCTGGAGCAGCCACAGCTTCTCTGGGCAACCTGTGCCAGGGCCTCACCACCCTCACAGTAAATAACTAAATAAGTAATTAAGTTGGGGGCAGGATTGGTGAGGAGGAGGAGGGATGGACAACTGACAGAAAACAGAAGAAAACCCTGCTTTGAGGGGTTTCTACTGGAGAAACAGCACAGTTTTTATAGGAATGATGGTTCTTTCCCCCTCTTTGCAGCTCGATGTGCTGGGCTGACAGTGTGGGGCACGTTCACTGCTGTGTGAAAGCAAGGCTGGGGTTTCAGATAAGCATCTCTGAACAGAGCTGACTATTGTGCAAGGATGATAATTCACATTTGCACATTCAGAATTACAGCTGCTCAGCAGGAAGCTTCCCACATTTCTCACACCCTGCCCTCAACAACACGCCTGCCCCAGAATGACCCTCTGACACTCAGACAGGAATCCCAAACTGAAAAAACATCTGTTCTGCAGCAAAGGAGTTCAAATGCCAATCAGCCAGAAAGATACTTCACATTTCACCAAGCTATTGCTCTGGAAGCCCATGTGAGGATTGGGACTGGCCTGTTTGAAGATCATCTGCCACTCAGTGAGTTCAAAGCTCTTGTTTAATGTGCTTCTTGCTAGAAACAAGAAGTGCTGAGCACATTGATCGTCCAAATAGTTGGAGTGAAGATAAATTCATTAATAAATTAGTAAATTCATGGTAAATTCCACTCTGGCAGGTGTCCCTGCCCATGGCAGGGGGTGGAACGAGATGATCTTTCAACTCAAACCATTCCATGATCAGTGCCCAGCATTTGGAAGATGTTACACCCTACAGCAGACAGACAGACAGACAGACACATCCAGCAGTGTGTCAGCTCCTTGGTCAGAAGAGCAAACTCCCCAAAAGACATAGGAGAGCAGACACCAAAGCAGAAGAGGAGGTTTTTAAAAAGAGATTGGACGTGGCCCTTAGTGCCATGATATAGTAATTGGAGTTGGATCAGGGTTGGACTTGATGATCTTGGAGGTCTCTTCCAACCCTACCTATTCTATGATTCTAAGATTTTCCCTCTATGTTTTTTTTGGGGGAAGGGACTTTCCTGATAAACAGGAAAACATGAAACCCCCACCACAATTTCTGTACCACCTCTTTCAACTCTTATTAAATGCCCCCAACCTCTCCCCCTTCCCCTCTGCCAGCACAGAGCAGTGACTCTCAAAAAACCAAACCCAGATGGTTTTCACCAAAGAGTCAATTAACCCCTGGGGTGTTAATTTTGCACAGCAGCAAACTCACCTCCATTTTTGATGGCTCTGATCCCCCGATGGAAATCCTCGAAGCTGATGACTCCCAGTCCACTCGGATCCAGGTACTTCGTTAGGTCCTTCACCTGCAACCACAAAAGCAGTGTCACCTACAGAATCCTTGGAGGAAACGGCATCTTCCACTACAGAAACACCCTGTAACCAACTTTTTCCTCGTCACAAGAAAGATTTGAGTTAATGACAGTGAATTTCTTCAACTGACCCCAAAATGTGGCCGTTCTCCTTGAAGGGGAACATAAGCAACCAATACAAAGGGGTTAATTATTACTTGGTTGGTGTTGAAACTATTGCTTAGCCTTGAAACATCAGTTTGGGCAGTGCTTCTTGCAACATGTTTCTGGGATCCTGGATGCTACCAGGGATTTGTTTATTTTTATGGTTTTTAAAGAGGTTCTGTCTTAATTGGGAACTCAGTAATAGGCTGCCTGGCAGGAGGGCCCAATTAAGAGGATTCGGTGATAATGAACTGCTCCACGATACAAATTTAGGCCATTTTCCCAATTAGACAATGCCTGAGGGGGAAGGAACCACATCAGCTGGAGAGGATTGGGATGGGGGTGCTGGAGCAGGCACACATATGGAGCAAGGGGCACTTGTGAGACCTGGTGAGGATGGTTTGGGCTCTCCAAAGAGAACAGGCAAAGGTTTGAGGGTAAAACCACAGGTTTGAGGGTAAAACCTCACCGTCCAAAGTATTCCAAAAGTATTCCTTTTGGTGCCCTTCCTTTTGGGTCCTTTCTCCTAGGCTGCCATGAGCAAAAAACCCTTTACACCACTGATGCTTCTCAAGCTCAGACAACCAGACATCGATCCCTCACTTTAAGGGCTCTTGAGGCACCTTGAGCCACATTCAGCTGAGAAACAAGCCCAGGAGGAATCCAGGTGTAAGAGGTGAGAGAAGGAACTGCACCATGCCCTCGCCTTGCCACACACATCTACTCCTCCTCATCCACCTTCCTCCTCCTCTCCCTCCTCCTCCTCTGGAGCTGATGCACAGGAGGAAGCCTCCAGGAGGGCTGCAGGGCTGCATTTGTGCAGCTTTCATGAGCACAATCTTTTGTCTCACTCAGGTTTTGGTTTGTTCTTGGGGAAAGAGATGGTGAATCACCAAACCTCTCCTCCCACCTAAAAGGAGACTTAACCCTGAGACCAGCCATGGTGCTCAGCACTGCCCTACTCATCACACAGCAGCACAGGGGCGTTGGTTTGCTTTCTTTTTTGTTTTCTTAAACCAAGGTATGTGTTTCTACAGGGAAATCACATCCACACCATGCTCAGAGCTGTTCACCCACGTGTCCACACGGTTTTGAACGCACCCAGGGGAGGCAGGAGATGTCTCTGCTTTGGTCATCCCACCTCCCCACAGGAGCAGCGAGAATTCCACCACCATGGAAGGAACCACAGGGCAGAGACCATAAAACCATAGAATCATAAATATCCCAAGTTGAAAGGGACCCACAAGGATCACAAGTCCAACATTCCAACAATCCCACCCTGTCCCTCAGAGCATTGTCCAAGCCCTCCCTGAGCTCTGGCAGCCTTGGTGCTGTGCCCACTGCCCTGGGGAGCCTGGTCAGTGCCCACCACCCTCTGGGGGAAGAACCTTTCCCTGAGATCCAACCTGACCCTGCCCTGACACAGCTCCAGCCGTTCCCTGGGGCCTGTCCCTGGACTTGAGACTGTGCCTCTGTGGGGCTGCCCCGAGAGCAAATCCAAGCCCCTCATGGCACAGGCTTGTCCACCTGCCAGCTGACTCCACCTCGGGTTGGACATCAGGAGGAATTTCTTCCTGGAAAGGGTGGTCAGGCACTGGAAGGGGCTGCCCAGGGAGGTGGTGGAGTCCCCACCCCTGGAGGTGTCCAAGGAACAACAACTGGATATGGCACTCAGAGCTCTGGGCTGAGGGACAAGGTGGGCACAGGTTGGACTCAATCTCACAGATCTCTTCCAACCTCATCTTGTGATTCTGTGAATGGGAGAACACAACACAAGCATCTTCTCCAGTTTTCTGGAGCACTTTTTTGGCAGCCAGATCACAGACCTGCTGAACTCACGTGGCACACACATCACCTCGGGTTAGCCAGGTTTTTGTACGTTAAACAAAGGTATTTTAGACTAATAAAAACAGCTCACAGGAATGTGTCAGTGCCACTTTAATGCATCTGGCAGCTGCTTTGTGTTCAAAAGCTGTCGCTTAATTTGTTATCTGGGTACAGAGATAACAGAAATGCAAGTGACATTTAATCAGACTTGATAAGCCTGTGAGGGATTATCACAACATACTCTAAATTATGGTTTCTGTAGTTTTCAGTTTCTCAGGACCACAGAGGGCTCCACAGCCCCCTGCCAATCCCCCAGCAAGGCACCTCACCCACACTGGAGCTTGTGCAAGAGAGACAGGACAGCCAGGGAAGCACTTTGTTTAGGCAAAAGAGCCACCGACACACCTATGTATTTAAATTGGGCTATGGGAAGGGGAGAACGAGGGGAAATGGTCATGAAAACTTCCCAACCCGGACATTATGGATGCAAACAACAAAAGCCACACACTGACAAAGCTCAAGCCCATGGCAACACGTCTGTGCTGATCCAAACCTGCCTGTATTTGCTGTCCAGGCTTAAAATCATTATTAACAACCACTTGAGAGACCACCCCCAGACTAGTGTGAGTGGCTGCTGACACTCAGAAGAGTTCACAACACAGAAAACAAGCACATCTGCAGTACCTACCTGGTCCCCCCAGCCCCTGGACACTTTTTCTCACCCAGCACCCACAGTGACAGAGTTGGGGGTGTTGAGGGGACACCCCTGCCCTTCACTGCCCGTGAGCATCTGGACCTGTCCCACCACCTCTGGGGCTGAGAGCTCCAGGATCTGGCTCCCTGCTCTGTACAGGTGTGTCTGCTTTGAGCTCTTCTGCACCTATTTTCTGTTTTGTCACCAACTGCCTCCCAGTTCTACCACTGAAAGTCCTGGTGAGGTGCACATAGAAACCCCCTGGACCACACTCTGCTGCCTGAGGGGTCCTGCCTGCCCACTCTGCTCCTGCAAGGCAGTTGCTCCAGCTCCTTGGACATTTTAATCATGTTTCCTGCTCCCTTTCCAGTCCCCACCTCTCCTTTTTGAAGAGAAAGGTGAGAACTGCACACATTATTCAAGACATCAAGATGCTGCAGCCTTTCACTGCTTAAAAGCAGCTGATAAAAAAGAGAGAGAGGGACTTTGACCAAGGCCATGGAGGGACAGGCCAAGGGGGAATGGCTTCCCACTGACACAGGGCAGGGTTAGATGGGATATTGGGAAGAAATTCTTCCCTGTGAGGGTGGGGAGGCACTGGCACAGGTTGCCCAGAGAAGCTGTGGCTGCCCCATCCCTGGAAGTGTCCAAGGCCAGGTTGGACGGGGCTTGGAGCAACCTGGGCTATGGAAGGTGTCCCTGCCCATGGCAGGGGGTGAAGTGGATGAGCTTTAAGGTCCCTTCCAACACAAACCATTCTGGGATCTTCAACAGTGTCAAACCCAGGTCCTTGGCATTACTCTGAGACCCCTCCCCAGGCCACTGTCTTGTCCACAGCCAAGCTGTCACAGCACTGAGCCCCCACACCAGTGACAGCTCCAGCATCTCACTCCTGGGTTGGAACTGCCAGTTTTCTCCATTTCTTCATTTTGATGTCTTAATTTTTGATGACTTAGGTTAAAACCACTACCTTATCAGGACAGTTGGGAAGAACACCAGCATTAAGGCGCAAACTGCTTTAGATTAGCAAATCTGAGCAGCTCTGAAGTCACAGATTTGTTTTTAGCTGAAGCCTAATCTGCAAGCGCAGAGCAGCCAAACCCACACTCCTGTTAGCACAAAAACAAAAGTTAATTCTTTACCAAACTGCAACGTGAAGCTAAACCCAGGCACATATATGAGCCACAGTCACAGGGAGGTTCCTGCTGTTGGCCAGCAAAAAATACTCAAAATAAATAAAGGGTTTTCTGACTGTGTGTGTTTATGGCTGGTTACAAACCCTTCTTGAAGAGCGAGCAGCTAAAATACAGAGCATTAGAGAGTCAGAGGATGACGTGGTTTAAGTAGCCGACTTAAATCCTGGTGGAAACAGAGAGGTTTAAACTGCTTGAAGCCAGGCTGCCTTGAGCTGTGCACAGACACAGGCCTGCAGAGGCACAACTGGTGTGAGATGTGCCAAGGGGGCTCTGCTCACCCTGTGCCAGGGACGAGGCACAACCTGGACCACGGGTGTTCTCCTGGTGAAGGACACGGGGCAGAGTGGGGAGGAGGAGAGAGGTCACCTGGCACCTCAACAACACAACAGGAACTACTCATTGCAGCAACCACATCTGTATCAGAGAGCTCTGCACACTCCAGGGCATTTCCCTTGCCAAAACCCAACAATTTTGCTGCCAAAAACCCCCATCTCCAACAACCCCTCGGAGCGTGGACACCAGCACCACACCGGAGCCAAACTCGTCCTTGAACAGCACAAAACAGGTTCCTTGCAGTGAAATCAGCTCAGTAAATGACCTCGAGCCCCAACAAAGCCAGTGGTGACAACTCCAAATCCAAATTAACACACAAAGGTTTGGCAGCCACACAGTGGAAGTTTCCCAGGGAGGTGAGGGATTCCCCAGCTGTGAGTGGCCCTGTTCAGCAGGAGGGAGGAATAGGAAAAGGAAGCTCCAGACCCTTTTATATTTATCCTTATGGACGCTCCATGTCTCCACCACACACCAGATGGATTCAGAAGCACAAAAATATCCACTGTGCTTGTTTTAAGTGTGATCTCTGAAGGAAGTGAGGGCTGTGCTGGCCAGACAACACCCTCCCTGTAACCCCTGAGCCTGCCAGCAGTTTTCCTTCATATTCTGGCAAAGATCAGGGCTGAACCAGCTTCCAAAAAGACATTCTTTTCAGGGGTGAATGAGGGTAGGAGATTTGTAGTGGTCACAGCAGTCAGGCACCCCACAAGAAGAGCACACAGGTATCTCAGGGATGGTGCTTCCAGCCCAGTCACAACCACGTCCTGCCCTGGGAATAAGTCAGCTCCCAGTACTGCTTT